ACACACACACACACACACACACACACACGATAAACAAGGCAGATAATGCAAAGCAAGAAAGATGCGAGAAAGCAGATGTATTTATGACAAAGAAAATGATAACGTAGGACAAAGACAGAGATACGAATTAGTTCCATCGTTTCACCACTACGCGCCGCTAGTGTTTCAGTGTTCGTAAATCAAGTAAATTTTAATTCGTAAAAAATACTGATCGAAGCGATTAATTTACGAAGTTTTTTCATCGCAGAATTTTTTTAGAGTTAAACTCTCCTCCTATATTCCGCCTCCTATATTCTATTTAACTTGTAAAGTGGATGAATAAAGATTTGCAGATTCTACCGAGTGGCAGAATTGAATAGATCTTGCCACTCTTTGCCATCTTTATTATCACAGGTGGAAATTCAAAAAGTCTAAAATTTGATTTTGCAAAGCTCTCGTAAATTAAAATATCCAAATCTGTATTAACAGATTAACGAAGTATGATTGAACCCTCGGAGAAAATACAAGATATTTACGAGGAACTTGATGATCATGCAGATCGTATTAATTACCTAATTAAACAGGTATTTGTGCATCTTTATTTTCGATTCGCGTGAAGTTGTATCTACAATATTTCATACGCGTAACTAATTCATTTCATATTGTCGAAAGTTTGCGGAACTGAAAGAAGAAATCTGCAAACAAAAAAAGGATCGATATTATTGGAAATCGCACTTTTCTACTTTATTGACAAACATTTGGGCAGGGCAAATCAAGTACTTGGAATTGCATAAAAAGGAAATCGGCCTTAGAAACAAAATGTCGGAAGTTACAAATATGGTTAAGCTTAGACAACAGGAATTGAAAGATTTATCAACTAAAAGAATGGCGTATTTTACAGAACAATGGTACTTTTACTCTTTTCTTTTTCAGAAGAAATTATCCAATTTATGATGATCTTGTGAACATTCTGCTTCATTCCAGCGATAAATATCGAATTAAGAACACAACGTGTGCAAATAATTTCTTGCACGCGCAGAAAAAATACGTATGTTCATTCGTCTATGCGTCTTATATTTCGCAGATTGTACGTAAATAAATAAAAGAATTTAATATCCTCCATTTTAGTCAAATCGAAATTTAAACAGAGAAATTCGAGAATTTCGTGAAGAGTATCAGGAAATGTATAACGAGATGCCAACGCTTGCGAGAAAATTGGAAGATCTAGAAACACTGTGCGATTTGAACAAATTAAATTCCGAAGAAGCCGAAGAAATATCGAAGATTAATCTCGTTTCGTCGAGTATAACGTAAGTGCGATTGATCTTTTACCGAAGTTTACGATTCAGATTTACTCTCGATAATTATTTGCTTCCTATATCCTATAGAAAAACTAACAGTAAATTACTGCAACGTACATCTGTTCAGACGTGTACGCTGAAAAAGCTAGAGAATGAAATAAAACAGAAGAAAATGACGTTTAGTACTTTCCAGAGAAACAATTACTAACGTAATCAATTTATGTTGTAATATTAGAATATATTAAAGTATTGAAATTGAAAGTCGTTTATTTATTACGCACTACTGTATATTATGAATATCAATGTAAAGTAACAATGCGAATTGTAACAATGTTCTGTTTGAACTTTTCTTTGATTCATTGCCTCTTTTCTAATTTGTCCCTTTCCTGCAAAAAAATATTTTTTTATCAACACGATCTGTAAACAAAATCGATCGCATCGGCTGGTTTAATTTCAACGAAAGGTATTCCCGCGCAAACGGTTAGAGGAAGCACCAACCGGCAACGATCATTGGTTAGAAAATTGAATTTATCAAAAGCCGGTGCCCTGTTGTGTTGTTTGAAGATATTTTTCTGCAGATTTAGTGTGTACATAC